AAAAATGAGGGCTGCTACACAGTATGTACAGTAAAATTTCATTTTTTGTTTCATACACACACACGTGAGCACATACATAATACACACAGAAAAAACCTCTTAATAATGTCAATAGTGATTATCCCTGGACAATGGGATTCGGGATAGTATTTTGCTTTCTTATTTATATTTTCTATTGTATAATTGTTAAATTGCTAAATCTGGGTATTATGATCCACTTCATGGTTTCCATTATATCGTCTCCTTTTTAGATAGCATACTCACTTTAAAAAGTGATTTATAATAATCACTACCACTTCCTGAGTGCTTATGATTCACCAGACACTGGGCGCTTCACTTATATTAACTACTTTAGTATTCTAACAATCCTAGGACATAATTACTGCTATTATCTCCAAATGAGAAAAGGAGTCAGAGAGGCAAAGTAACTTCCCCAGGGGTACACAGCTAGGAAATGGAGGAGCAGAGACTCTAACCCAGGAAGTCTGATTCTAAAGCCTTAGTTTTTTGGGGGGAGGGGTGGGATTTGTAATAAGACCAAAATTACATTATTAGTAATAACAAAAGAAAGCTTAAAGAAACATAAATTTAAGTTAACAATTATACAATAGTTGTCTGTTCACAAAGAGACAAAGAAAAAAATGAAATAGGAAAGGAAAAAAAACCCTCAGAATCTGAAACATCACGATGGAAATGTGGCAATTACGACCACAAACATTAAAACGTTTCCTTAGGGAAAAGAAGAAAGACTTTTGGATTCAGGTGTGGTTGTTTGTTTGTTTGTTTTCCAGTCCAATAACATGCCACGTGTTATACCAAATCAAAGGACTGAGATTAAACATAAGAAAATGGGCAGGATCCACTAGGCAAGTATTCACCCCTCTGCAACCAAAGGAGAGATGTTGAAAGGTCAATCAGATGTCCTCCTCTATTGGCTCCTCAACTTACTCTGGGCAGAAGATGAAGTTCCTAAAAGGCCCCTGTGGGATCTGCCGAGGTCCCCTCATCCTGCCAGTCCTTGCTCCCCGCTGATACCCCTTTGGAGATCCAGCTCCAGCCACACAGGTCACTTCGCTGACCCTCAAACCTACTAGGCGCAATCCTGCCTCAGGGCCTTTGCTTTTGCTGTTCTCGCCATCTGGGACGATCTCTCCCTAGATTTCCACAAGGTCACTCCCTCACCTCCCTTCAGGTCTTTGCCATGTGTCACCTTTTTAGTGAGTCCTTTCCTGAGAATTATATTAAATAAATTGGAGTATCACCCTCCTCCCACCCCCAGCATTCCCTATCCCTGTTTCTTGTTTACTTTTCTCTATAACATTTATTTTTAAATTTTTTTAAGTAGGCTCCATGCCCAGTGTGGAGCCCAATGAGGGGCTTGAACTCATGACCCTGAGATCAAGACCTGAACTGAGATCAAGAGTTGGACGCTTAACTGACTGAGCCACCCAGGTGCCCCTCTCTATAGCATTTATCAGCTTCAAACATGCTATTTTTTACTACTCATTTTTTTTTAAATTTTATGTATTGTTCTCCAAATAAAAAGAAACCTCCATGAACCCAAAGATTCAGTATATAGGTACTTGCTATGTATATTCACTTTTGCCAGCAACAAGGCAAAATCATGGGCAAAGAGTATTAACTGCAACAGACATAATTTTGTGTTGATATCAGTCATTTTTGAAAATAGGTCTTGAAGAGCTATGTAGTCAATAATGATGCCACACACATATAAAGCAAAAAAACATCAGAAATGAAAGAAAATGTTCCAAAAAACGTTACTGGGAGAATCTTAATGAGCACTGTGCATTTTGGTCAGATGAAACAAATTAAAAAAAAAAAAGGACACCATAAGAGATCCGGATATTATATTGAGATGGAACTAATCAACACTGAAATGCATGACCTACAAATAGTAAAGGTAATCTTTTTACTAAGTGTCCACAGAACATTTAGTAACACTGAACTAAGCTAAATTGGAAAAAAAAAAAAAAAGGAAGAAAGAAAAGAAAAGTGTACAGGACATATTCTCTGACCATAAAGTACTAACACTGTTATTTGACATTAATAATGAAAAATGAAACAAAAAGCTAACACCAGTGATTTCCAAAATGCCCAAATAAAAGCACGCTTGAAAGGAAATTAAAAACACAACTGCAGACCCTGAGCAAGCAACAAAAACTGGAGTGCGACACATCACAGCTCAGAGGAAATCTTTATTCCCTCCAATGCCTGTTCTTTATTCCTGAAGAGCAGAGTCCGTTAAGAGAGGAAAAATAAATTAGCAAAGTGTTCGACTGAAATTCACAGGCAACCACCAACAAACCCACAGAAAAGAAGACTGAAACACAGAATTGATACGTAAATCCCAGAGCTCATTCTTTGCAGAAAAATAAACCATAGCAGAACAGATGAACCCCTGGAAAACAAGGGGAAGGAAAGGAGACAGCAAAAACAAATAAAATTAGAAACAAAGGAGTGGATCTGACAACAGATGCGGGGCTGGTGGCAAAGTGGCAGATGAGGGGCCTGAGGCTGGCGTGCCACATCTGGGAACTCACACAGCTGTCTTTTGCCTTTCTGCTGCATGGTCTTCAATTACAGTACAACAGAAGAGCTGGGAGGGCTCATCCCCTACCGGATGGGGAAACTGAGTCTCGGAGATGGCATGGAACTCACCCAAGACCCCACAGGGACAGGAATCCAAATTTCTAGAATTTGATCCATTTACGGTCAAGACAGCATCACAGATGTCTTGGTCCTGAATCGTTTAGGGGTGACTTTTAGCTGCAAAATCCAAAGAGGGCTTTTATCTGCAAAAGAGGACTTTAATCTGCAAAATCTGAAGAGGGCTTTTATTCAGCAAAAGTTCCCTCCTATAATTCCATCAATTTCACAACTCTCCTAGGAGGAGGGATGAGGGATGCTGCAATTAGCCCTCACTAATGGAATTGTAATGGCTGAGAAGGCTGGAGTACAGAGAGGTGAAGTGATTCACTTGAAGTCACAAAGCATCCATCCACTTAGGACAGCCAAGGTCAAAACGACCCGTCTACCTTCTAGGCCTCTGCCAAACCCCTGTACCAGGAGGCAGAATGGGATGTGCATGTGCTTAGGCCCTGGCATCCCAGAGACCCGGACCCAAACTCAAGCACCGTCATGTACGGGCTGTGTGTCCTTTCACATATTGCTTGACTACTCTGATCCCAGGAACGACACTCCGCCCAGAACTGGTGGGAGAATTGAAGGATGATGACGTGTACGTGTGGGGATATTTTGGACTCAGTCCTTTCGTCCTCCCTGCACTCTGCTCTTTCCAGGGAGCAGATGGGACCGGCACCAGTCCAGGAAGAGGTGGTACCAGTGGGAGAGAGTCCTGCCCATTTGGGCCTGAAGAACCATGAGAAATGAGCAAGGGTAAGGCAAAAGCAAGAGGGGCTTTGCCCAGCCTTCTCTGCCCTGGGCGGAGACCTACATGGAGGGCCACACATCACAGCTGCAGCAGGCCAGGGATATAGAGATCACTCAGACAGCGCTCCTGGCCCACATGCAAGAGGCTGAGAAGTAAGGGCTCACACAGGTAGCCTGGGGAGTGGGAAAAATGGGACACTATGTGGAGGGACCTCACAACGAGAGGCAACAGGCCAGGACCTGGGACTCCAGCAGGAAGCCAGAAATGAGGTTCCAAAGCTGGCGGGGGTGGGTAGGGGAACCCGTCCAGCCTCAGTGGGCACGGGTTCAGGAACCAGGCAGGATCAGCTGCTGTGCAGCAGTCAAGCCCAGAAGGCATACCACATGCAGGAGGGTCCCCTTCTCACCCCCAGGAGGTCACGAAACTGCCTAAGAAAGTCTGGGTGCATCACAGAAAAGAAAGAGGCTATTCGTGGGTATCAATGTGTGACTCCAGGACACCTGGAAAGTGATCAGCGCAGAACCTGGCATCCAGTTAAGAGTCAATAAGTGGTAGCTATTGCTCTGGTAATTATTATCATTATGCTCTCTCTCTCCTGTCTCACTTAGACACCCCTGGGAGATCATACATTCTTTCTCCTTAACGTCCTTACGCCTGACTTAAAGAGGAAGGAACATGCAATCTGTCACTAGTGTTGATGGCAGCATGCGAAGTCAGATCATCCATATGTTAAGAAAAATCACCCAAGTTTTTATCATGAATGGATGTTGTACTTTGTCAAATGCTTTTTTTTTTTTCCATCTATTGAGATGATCGTATGGTTTTTTTATCCTTTCTCTTGTTGATGTGATGTATCATGCTGATTGAACCACCCTTGCATCCCCAGGATAAATCTCACTTGATCGTGGTGGATGACTTTCTTTTTAAATGTATTGTTGGATTTGGTTTGCTAGTATTTGGTGGAGAATTGCCGCACCTATGTGGAATGGGAAAATGGCAAAAAGATGGCAGTGTGACCTCTCACTGTCGTGCAAGAACATTTTCTAAATAGTTATCTCCTTCCCTGCTACTACTTATTAGTCTAATACTTAGAACTGTTACTTATAATCCACAAGACAGTAGGGCCCAGATGGCCTCCCAGCTCTGCGAAGACAAAACGCTAACTTTTAGAAGTTTTTCCAGTCTGGGGCGCCTGGCTGGCTTTAGTCGGGTAAGCATGCAACTCTTGATCTCTGGGTTGTGAGTTTGAGCCCCACGCTGGGTGTAGAGGTTGCTTAAAAATAAAATCTTTAAAAAAGAAGAAGAAAAAAAGAAGTTCTTCCAGTCTGGTAGACAGATCGCCTCCAAGGTTGTGATTTCGTTGCCCTGTTTGGCAGCCGGCTTTACCTCTAACTTAGCAAAGTGACTTCAGCATTCCTGTGTCTCCTGGTATACCAGTCTCAGCTTCTCAAACCTTCAGAATCAGCCATTGATATTCGTGGTCTCCCCATTCGTGAGCTATAAGGAAAACTGTGACAAATGCTCCTTACCTATTTTTTTGAGAATTCTGTTGTTAACCGTTTGTGATCTGTGCTTTAACACACCTTAGTACCACTGTTTTTTTGTACCCACTTGGCTTTCATCCTCCTTCACATCTGTCATCATGTTGTCATTGATTAGTCATTGGTGTCATTTCTTCTCACTCCAGAAGCTAAGCGCCATGAGGGCATGTCTGTCTTATACCTGACGGATCTCTAGTGACAAGAATGGACTAGAGAGAGACTCAAAATCTATTTGAATAAAAGTCTGTGGTAAATACAAGGGCACCTGGGGCGCCTGGGTGGCTCAGTCGGTTGAGCGACTGCCTTAGGCTCAGGTCATAATCCTGGAGTCCCGGGATCGAGTCCCGCATCGGGCTCCCTGCTCGGTGGGGAGTCTGCTTCTCCCTCTGACCCTCCCCCCTCTCATGCTCTCCGTCTCTCATTCTCTCTCTCTCTCAGATGGATAAATAAAATCTTAAAAAAAAAAAAATACAAGGGCGCCTGGGTGGCTCAGTCGGTTGAATGTCTGACTCTTGGTCTCATCTCAGGGTGGTGAGATGGAGCCCTGTGTCGGGCTCTGCACTCAGCGGGGAGTCTGCTTGAGTTCTCTCTCTCCCTCTGCGCTCCCCCCGCCCTCCCGGATCACATTCTCTCTCTCTCAGATAAATAAATCTTAAAAAAACAACAACAACAAAGTCTACGATGAACAGGGAGGAGAGACATGGAGGTTGTACGGTGAGCAATGGAAAGGATGTGTGGGCCAGGTGACACATTCTCTTTCTTGCTAAACTGGTCTGATTTTTATTTTCTTTCACTTGTAACTGGAAAAGCCCCCAGTGAGACCATTCAGAAAGGAGACAATTTCTCTTAAAGAGAAGGGCAGCCAGTAATCCCCACTTTGCTCAAAGCTATGGTGCCAGGTTGGACTTTGTATTCTGACTCCTTTTACTCAGATGACGGTGAAACCAACAATTGCTAAGGCGGCTCACCTAGTCTCTTCGTTGGGAATACTGAGCAAGGATTTTTTGCCATGAGAAGGGAACGAAGCAAAAACTGCAGAACAAAGGAGACACTGCAGCTGACCACTGCCGTAACCTCCCAGCACCTCCGTGGCCAGGCTTGGTAAGCAGTCCCAACGAAGGAGCATCTTCTTACAGAGCCAGAATCTGACAGTGGATTGTGTATATCTTTAGGGTATATTGTGAGAGCCACTTTAGTGCCCATGGGGCCAGTCAAGACATGTAACTGTGTAAAGTTAGATGGATATAAAGCAATAGGGGGTGGTGGAGACTATGGCAAACAGAAAATTCATGTCCTGTCTGAAGGAGGCATTAACTAACTACTTACCTGTTCTCAATTCTTGCCTTCTAGGCCCAGTACATCCAGATATTTCTGGCTTTGCAAACCAGAAGTCCAGATTTTTTTTTGAAGTAGGCTCCATGCTGGGCATGGAGGGTTTAAACTTACAACACTGAGATCAGGCCTTTTAGACCCAGTGCATCCAGATATTTCTGGCTTTGCAAACCAGAAATCCAGATTTTTTTTTTTTTTTAAGTAGGCTCCATGCTGGGCATGCAGGGCTTAAACTTACAACACTGAGATCAAGACATGAGCTGAGATCAAAAGTAGGACATTTGGGACGCCTGGGTGGCTCAGTTGTTAAGCATCTGCCTTCAGCTCAGGTCATGATCCCAGCGTCCTGGGATCAAGCCCCGCATCAGGCTCCCTGCTCAGTGGGGAGTCTGCTTCTCCCTCTCCCTCTGCCCCTCCCCCCTGCTCATGCTCTCTCTCGCTCTCAAAAAATAAGTAAAATCTTTAAAAAAAGGTTGGATGCTTAACCAACTGAGCCACCCAGGCACCCACCCCCAGAAGTCCAGATTTTTATGGAAAATGTCCCGATTTTGAAAATACTAGCAACTGATTTTTTTTTTAAGTACAAGGACCAAATAAAACATTTCCATGAGGCAGATCCGATCTACCAGCCATCACTCTGTGACTCTGCTTTAGTATTTCACTTTTAGGACAAAAAGGAAAACATCCTTCTTCCCATATTCGATGGACCAAGCTATATGGTAGCTTTCAAAGCAAAATCCTGCTTACCAGCCATCAACACCAGCTTTCTGCAGTTCGGAAATCCCAAACGACAAAGATCCCATGAAGTCATTCCTGCTGGTCAGATCCCAATCCCAAATCTCTACAGACAGTCTTCTGTCTTTGTCTGATTCTTTCAGTTGGCTACCAAGAGCAAAAAGAGAGAAGTCAGCGGACATTACAGTGATTTCTCAAGCAGATGAAATGTTTAAGAGGACAAGGCCCGAAGGTAGGAATTTTTAAAGATTACAAGCTGTTGCAAGCAACATATTCCGTTTCGCTCCCAGGCAAGCTCCCCAGGGAGGGAGAGCTTCTCAGGTTCCACAGCCTGTGGCTCAGCTGGGTAGAGGACCTGGGCTAGCTCCAACAGGAGCAGTTCTAGCTGCTTCTGCTGCCTTAAGTCTTAATAGAGTTTGTGATGTTCGGGAAACCCTATTGACATAGTCGCTATAAGAAATATGGGTATCAATTATATAACTGCATGAGTGTTTGCACACATGGGAGTTAGCATGAGGCTGAGGACATCTGTGGAGGAAGCAGTCTTGTCAGTGCTGGTCGGGGGAAACTGTTCTGAGGCATGTCCTTGATTGAGGCTGAGGTGCACCCCCACTTTTGCCCTGAGAGAGGACACGGGGGGGATGGGGCTCCCACAAGGAATCATGCTTTTGGCCCGTAGCCTCCAGAGTCACAGTGTTGGAAGCTGAATCCTCCTCGACCCCATATTTGTTGGGGGACTCTGGCCACATTCTTTAACCTCTACAAGCCCCATTGGTTAAATGGGGATGAAATGGCCAACGAACTGAGGTCATTCAATAGAGTGCTTTTTATAACCAGAATATGCTCCTTAAATATTGGCTGATGTCACTAACCCTTGTGGGCCCAGATGCATCAAAAAGTGACCCCAGGTTCTTGAGCACTGGCCCAGGAAGATCCTCCATGGAAGGTGGCAGAGAACTCTCAACAGGCTGCAGACTCAGCATATCCATATCCACAGACTCAGCCCTAGAGGGGTTATCACCACACCCTATGGGTTATGTCCCACTCTTCACTGAGACCAGAGCTTCTCCCACAACTTGCCTTCACCTAGCAACACATCACACTACTTTCTATCCCACCCACTCCCCACACCACAGACATTCTCAACTCTATTAAAAAAAATAAGTTCCAATTTTTACTTGGCTTGCAATGCAAAAATGCAGATGGAAGGGGAGGGAGGAGGGAGAAAGGGAGGGAGGGAAGGGGAGGGAAGGAGAGGAGAGGGAAGGAGGGAGTGAGGGAGGAAGTGAAATGGAAGCCGGGAGGGGCACTCTCTGATCTCAGGTGGCCCAGAAGCCAACCCCCACCGCCCACGCTGGGCAGCGATAATTTTAACTTACAATCTGAATGTCTCGTTCCACTCAGGGTTGAGGGAGCACTTGATGGTTTTGGTCTTCTGCTTGCTCTCACTCTTGGGGTCGGGAATCAGTTTCAGTTTCACGTAAGGGTCTGACAAACCATTGGGGTCCATAGGTACAAGGTTTTTAGCATCTCTTACTAAAAAGAGAAAACGCAATTTCAGCATTAATAGCCCCGCAATGTTTAAGCATCGACCAGTGAGGGCTGGACAACGTGTGGACAAGTCCTTGGCATCCCACTCATTTAACAGGAATTGTAACTAGGAACATCAATAGCTAAGAGGCATGCAAAGCGAGACAGACTGGTAAGATGTAGCCTCTGCTCTATATGAGTTCGAAACGGATTTCCGACTTTCATACTGCTCTACCCACTGTGCCCCCAAGATTAGCTGTATGCTCTCTTAAGTTTGTGCTCCACAAAGCCAACAAGAAAGACTGGCTTCTTTCACCACACATAATGTTTTCAGGGTTCATCCACACTGTGGCTCATGTCAGTACTACAGTTATGGCTGAATATTATCCCCTCATATGGATATATCAAACTTTGGGTTTTTTTTATAAATGTTTTTATATATTTATTTGTGAGAGTCAGAGAGAGAGAGAGGCAGAGGAAGAGGGAGAAGCAGGCTCCCCACCTAGCAGGGAGCCTGATGCGGGACTCGATCCCAGGACCCTGGGATCGTGACCTGAGCCGAAGGTAGACGCTTAACCATCTGAGCCACCCAGGCACCCCTCAAACTTTGTTTATCCATTCATCTGTTGGACATGGTTGTTCCCACTTTTTGGCTCTAGTGAACAGTGCTGCTATGAACATCTGTGCACTCTGACACAGAAGGTCACATGTTGTAGGATTCCATTTATATGAAACACCCAGAACAGGTAAATCCAGAGACAGAAAAAGCAGACCAGTGGTGGCAAGGAGCTGGTGGGGAGGGGGGAATGGGGACAGACCACATAATGGGGAAGGGGTTTCCTTTACTGGTGATAACATTTCTTGGAACTAGATACGGGTGATGGTCGCACAACCCCGTGAATATACTAAATGCCAGTGAATGGTACACTTTAAGATGGCTAATACTTAATTTTATGTTATGTGAATTTTACCTCAATTCAAAAAGCAAAAGCTAAAAGAGAAAGAGATGCTCTCCAAACCAGGGTGCACCTGTCATCCACGGGGCACCCGTAACCATGACCCAGACAGCCCAGAGAGAAGGCTGGAAAAATATCGCAGCATTACAGGTAGGCTCCACCCTCAATGAAGAACACTGAGTAAAGGAGGCTGTGAGACTGGCTTAAAGAAGAAAGGAAGCAGAGGGTCAGTAGTGTAGACACAACTGGGTATAGGAAGGATGAGATGGAACAGAACATCAGCCTAGAGAAACAGGAAGAAGTTAGCCAGGAGTCAACTTGAAAGCCAGTTACATAGGCAGCCATAGGAAGGAGATGGGAAAATGGGAGTCATATGGATACGGTGCCAACCATCTCAATTATGATAGAAAAATCCAAAGTATTACATTAGCAGATTGAATCAAGCGATCTGCCAGAAGGCTAATATAGAATGACTCTTACCAGGAATGCAAAGATGGTTCAATCATAGAAAACCTATTATTTAAAATATTCATTATATGTATAGGTTAAAGGAGAAAACCATTGAATCATTGCAATTGGCTACAATAGCAGGAAATTGCCTTCACAGGATAAAGGCTATCTGAAATTAATAGCTCCATAGTTAATGATAAATGCAATCCCATCAAAGGCAGGAAGACAATAGACATCCATGACCCCAGCTATAATTCGACATTTTTTTCTTTTTTTTTTTTTTTAAGATTTTATTTATTTATTTGACAGAGAGAGACACAGTGAGAGAGGGAACACCAACATGGGGAGTGGGAGAGGGGGAAGCAGACTCCCCGCTGAGCAGGGAGCCCGATGCAGGGCTCGATCCCAGGACCCTGGGATCATGACCTGAACTGAAGGCAGACGTTTAACAACTGAGCCACCCAGGCGCCCAAGACATTTTTCCTAAGTGTTCCATAAGTACAATAATACAATAGAAACAGAATACTGGAAAGTAGAGGATAAAGCAGCATCTCACCTCCTATAACTTTTGCTTCTGCCCTATCACAGTCACCTCCTCCCTGGAGTTTATCATCCCAGAAATTACACCACTTTCTCAATCTCCTCTTCACGTACCCCACGAGCCTATGCCTCTCCCTATTTTCCCAGTTCATTAACCTTAGTACTCCACTGTGACCAGTCTTACACCACCAATCAGTCTGTTGAGACGATCTTTATTGAATCTTCTCCCCATTCCCTCTTGCCTTTATTTAATTCACCCCCAGGGCGCCTGGGTGGCTCAGCGTCTGCCTTCGGCTCAGGTCATGATCCCAGGGTCCTGGGATCGGGTCCCTCATCGGGCTCCCGGCTCGGCAGGGAGCCTGCTTCTCCCTCTGACCCTCTGCCTGCCTCTCTGCCTACTTGTGCACTCTATCTCTGTGTCAGATAAATAAATAAAATCTTAAAAAAAAAATTCACCCCCAGCCTAGAGTTCATAGTGCATTATAATCACTCCCTTGGAAACCCCCTCAACTCTCTTGCTCCTCTTTCTTTCCATTTTATTTATCTGGGGGGAAAAAAAAAACAACCCAGCCCTAGTTAAATTCGTAGATCTTCTCTTTATTTTCCTACACCCAAGCAGCTAGCCATTGCTGTTGGGGGCAAGGGTGGTGCCACCTGACTTGTCTAAGATCATATCACTAGGAAGGGGTTGGGACTGAATACATGAGATGGAAAAAGGGCTGGTGGACTCCTAGGGGAGTGACAAGAGGCCCAAGGACGCACGTGGTAACTTATTCTGCACTGACGTGTTTCTGCACCGTAGCATATGGCCTTTCCTCCCATTTATCCACAGGCTGAATTCTCACTCCATGTCATTCTCATGCAGGTTGTACCTCATTCTTGCACCAAAAGCAAGAACTTTTCCTCTTTGATTTTGACTCAGTTAAGTTCAATAAGCAGGTCCCTATGAGGCACCAGGCATTCCGTTAGGCACTGGGGACATGGGGATAAGATAAGATGTTGATCCTGTCCCCCAGGAATACAGAAAACCAAATTTATTCAAAGTATAGTTGATCGCTAATGAGTCCACAGGCAGGTCACATAGTGTAGTGGATACAAGGCTACGAGAGGTCAGGTTTTGCATCTTGCTTTGCAGTTACTTCACAGTTTGGGACCTCGATTTCTTGACCAATGAGATGCAGATGACACATACTTCATTGGGTTGTTGTAAGAGTATAATCGGATGCAGAATATACACGTTTAGCACAGAACCTGGCTCTCAGGGAATAGTCAATAAATGCCAGCTATATTTTTGCCATTTTATTATTATTATTACACGTATTCAGGGTCCCCTCTCATTACATTTGTCCACTTTTATTAAGAAGAGTTAACCATTTCCAAGTGGACATCTGGGTCTTCTTCTTTGAGAATAAGGCATCTACCTTCCCACTTGAACCTTTCCAGAGGGCTCCTCAAACCTTAGTGTGTATAAGAGTCACCCACACAGCTTGTGAGGCACATATTCCTGGGACCCACTCCTACAGATGGATTCTGATTCAGTGACTCTGGAGGGACAGCTGCTCACTTGTTTTTCTAACACGTTCCCAGGTGATATTGCTACTGCTGGTGGTCCACACAGCACA